CCCGATTATAGTCCCTTTGAGTAGTTTCTATTTAGAAATCCACGTGACAGGTTTACATTAATCAGTTTGTTATAATTTATTGATTAATCTAATGGTACTTGTGTGGGGTACTATGATATAAAATTATAGAAAACAGTTTTAAACAATGAAATGTAACTAATACTTATTAACTTTTGTACATACATTTTACCTCACTGAATGTTAAAATCACAAAGTTATTTATCTTAATGACAATTCACTTTATTAATAGACAACAGAGAAGGGATACGCTTCTCCAATTTGTTTATCTAATAGCTTAAATATTTAAGTTGTGGTTAATAAGCTAGATAAGTGATTTTACTTTATTAGCGCTGCAAGCAATGAGACCTGATGACGTTATTTCGTATAGTTAGAGTATCTCCTGTTTTGGGGATCTGATTTGGGAGTATCTCCTGATATAAGCTGAAATAAGCTGTCTCTAGCACAGAATAGGCTGCATATCTCCTGTTGTGTATATCCAGTACTGTATGAATAGTAAGATATAGTCAGTTTTTAAGAGTATGGACAGAAGATATTTAATATAGATAGCAAATCTCCTGATCATATCTCCATTCAAATTAGTATAATTTGGGACCTATTCTTTGACATACCATCAAATAATTTGATATAGGTGGTATGATACTCAAATTTGTCCGTATTAAACATTTGATATCTGACTATATTTTAGGGGATTCTGAGGAGATTTGCAAACTATTTATGCAAATCTCCTGAAATAAAACAGGAGATATCGCACATTTTGCACAGTGTATAGGCCATGTTCGATTGGATTCGCTACGCTTTGGCCTTGCTGTTATCTAGTTGTATTTTCCTTCAGGCAGTTGATGAGAAATACGTGAATCTATAAATAATTCAATTAAGCAATATTTTATAAGTATCGCCATTTATCGCAACTTTCACGTCATCGAACTCTTAACTTATTTTTGTTTTTATTTAAGATGTACCTCGATCCCTTTGGGTCCTTGCGATGGTTATTTTGGCCTTGGTGCCAAAAACTGAAAGCATCACCGTTGCAGAAAAACAAGCGATCAAGAAAGGCTTGCAAACTGGGAAAGAGATTTTGGGTTTAATAGCAGACCATAAATTTCATGAAACATTAACAAAAGTTGCGACAGAGGTAAAAGGGTTCCTTGGCGCTTTGGGTCCATTCATTGGCCTTGTTATGACATTCGTGCCATCTGCAGATTCAGCAGAGTTGGAATTCATGAAAAATATGATGACAGCAATAGACAACCACTTCGACCGAGTAGATTCCCGTTTTGATGATGTTGAACGGTTAATTGAGTGGACTGAAACAGCTGTTAAATTTGGGGAAATAGAAACAGCACTCAATGCTTTGGAGGAAGAATATCGTCTTTTTTATAAAAGTACTGCGTCATCAGGAAACAGGAAAGAGTTGTTTATAAAGAGCTACGACAGCAACTATAAGCTTGCAGGCACAAAATTGTACCAGGCAATAGTCAACCCAGGAGGTACATTTAATGAGAATCTTGGACAGGCCGTTATGAGGTACACAAAAAATGATCGCAAGAAGACAGAAGATTTTCTTCTTGGAATTCTTGATATGATTTTTCAAGCAATTCGACTTGAAGCTGGTTATTACGAAATGAATGCTTTTACAACCATAAAAGAAGAAAGGAACAAAGAATGGGAAACACGAGTACAAAAAGTAAGAGAAAAACTAGAAGAGATTGACGTCGCTGTTATGAATAAGTACCATGCCCAGTCTAAAGAGGAAATATTAGATTATGCCAGGGATAATTCCGGAATGAGTAATGAACAATTTAGTCTCGGATTGTTCAGTTCATTAGAGAAAAAATATTATTGGCGGGTGTGGTTTGTTTTAATTTACAATCCGATAACTGGCTCAAATAAAAATCGTATGAACGTATGTTTCGGACATATATTTCTTCGACAAAACGGACGTAGCATCGTGGTCGCGAGCAAGGACAAGAAGCAACAGGAGATGGATCTGAATAACGCAAAGAGAGAATTGCAAAAGTTTTCACTCGAAGTTATTCGATTGCATAATAATTTCGAGTTTCTGGTGGAGGTTTACTATAATGGCCAGAGTAGAATATCCAACATATACAATGCTGAAGAATATTTTAACAAAGCTGATAAAACAAGTTCCTGTAGCTTTGCTGTCGTGGAGAAGGACGCTAATGTATTTTACAAAGCCAGTGAGAACAGAGTAGCATACCGTGAATTTTTTGCATTTAAATTGTTCATGTTTGTTTAAACCATGGCATGAATTAGGCGACGGCCATAAACAATTTTAGAGTACTGAATTTAGAGAATTTATGACTTGAAATTAAACAGTGTAAAGTTCTAAAGACTGGAACTTTAATGACGAGAATCTCAGAATTATTATAATCAAAGATCCCTTTGATATGATGTACTGTTTTATCTTTTGGTTACTTTTTTTATTAGTATATTACGTTAATAAATATATAAGCGCAAATGCCAAAGAGAAGAGTGACTAAAACTTTAAAAAAAAAACCAAGAAAAGCAAACTGTAAGTGTAACGTGAAAAGAAACAACCAGAACACCAAGGGACATTTCATTCATACTGAAGTCATTACAATACATGTGAAGAAAAATTGAAAAAATTGATAGCTAATACTCATAACATCAAAAATAGTTGTAGATACTAGACTAGTAGTTAGGTTCCGATCCCTATTTCTCAACCATTAATGCCATAGCCGGGATCCACCTAAAAAAGTGCCAAGGTGAAAATATTATTAAAATAAATTAAAATCATATTATAAGTTCATTGCCAATTTATTATACCATTCCTACATCCTTTAGCATCTCAAGTGGTAAAACTTGAAATTTCGAAATTAATGACTTACAATTGTACTTTTCAGCAAAGCCCAGAAAAGATTTCTTAAGTTTTTTACAAGTATAACCTTGACCTAACAGCTTGGTCACTAAAGTATGGTGTCTTGATTTGAAATCTAGATATTTTGAACACGCCCTGCTATATCTAATAAACTGGAATACTTAAACCCCATATGCTGGGTTTAGTGGAATAAAAAGTAGTAAAATTTGCTTCTGAAAAATATGGCAGCCATTTTATGTGTGTCTCTTTACATCTTTCGCAATGTAATAACTGCTAAGAGAGGTTGTGTTGATATTTTATACAAATATGCCCCATAGGCATACGCCGATTTGTAGTTTTTGAAAAAAATTTCGGCCATTTTATGTGTGTCAACTCGACAGCCCCAAAACCGCCATACCTCGCCAGCATTTCCCCGAGTTTAACCAGAAATCGGCAACTCCAAGAAGTGGCACACCCCAAGGATCACTAGGCCAGGATACAGCATGGGTTTTGGGAAGTTCAAGGGCCACTTGATAGACATAATGTTTCTGAAAGATGACTTCATTTAGCATCAATTCATATATGTCTGGGTCTTTTTAATTTGTGAACGAAGGATTTCGAGCAGTTTTACCCCCTAGAATAATATTTCAGGGGGGTACTATATTATCATTCTATAAAATCAGTTATGCATTAACTATAGCACTGATTTATACATATTATGTTGCTAGCACTGTAGTCAAGTGTTTCCCAAAGCTATAGGGAGATATGTTGATCGGTTTTGACAAAAACACAATTTATAGTAATAAATAAGCATATTTTCATTCGTTTTTTAGTCTCGCCAACTTTATTGTTGCAGCTTCAGAGAAATAATTGGCACCAATACTGCTTTAAGAAGTAATCTAAAATTATTTCCAATCTATGTGGGGAATTGTAATATAAAGAATGTAATGATACAATACTATTTGGAATTTTAAATATGGCTTTGTTAACCCCTACCCCTTAGAAATATGAGAAAGTGAAAGTGGCACAATTAGATCAGAAATTCTATAATGAGTACCAATACTTCTCCAAGTAGCATTTTAAAAATGTATGTGTGATATAAAGAGGTAATTTAATGGGAGGGATGGAATATGAATTTTATTCTGAGGGAAAATATGATATTGGCCAAGGAAAACATCATATTGATTGAGGGCAATAGCCCGGGTGATAATATGATAGTTCTCGAGGCGAATAAAATAAATAAAATTCATATTCCACCAACACCATCAATAACCTATTTATTAAATTATTTTTTCTGAAACATAAAAATCAAGAGAAATCCCCGGGAATGGTTCTGATATAGGATCTGATATGTGATTTAGGCTGATACAGGATCCAATACGGGATCCGATATAGGAATCTAGCTATAATATGGGTTCTTTTGAATATCAATTCTATTCCCTGTTTATTTCCCAGAGAAAACATGCTATTATGGAATAATGTTATAATTTTGTAATGATCAACTTTTTTTTTTTAATTTCTGGATGCCTTTGTTAGTCTAAAGGGTCATTTCTTCATGTTAAATTCTTGTTTTTATATTTTTCTTTTTCTAAAATTTTATCAAGAATTTCTCTTTATAAGTCAAGGTCTTACGGTTCTAATTCAGATGCACCAGTCTGCATTTGTATGCTCATTATTTCATTTAATATATCTTAAAAGTACAATAATTTACATCCCAATGATGCCTTGAAGCATGAGCTCTGTCTAGCCCAGCATAGCTTACCCAGGCAGGCACATGTGCATTTTATCAGCCAATGGATTCCTTCCAGGGGGAACAGGTAATTGCTATTGAGTCTATGCTGTCAATCTTAAAACTAAATATAGTTTAATAGGGAGTAGCCATATCAGCATCTTCTATACCCCCCCCCCGCCCTATAATCATTCAATAGGAACAATTGACGTTACATACTTATTCACATAGCACTCCTAAATGCACTGTTTACCACTGAAGGAATCCTACAGTTGATTAAATTCACATGTGACTCTTAAATACACCTTTACCCATGAAAGAATTCTCACTCGGGAAGTTCAGCTGCATCTTTGAGGATGCGTTGTAGAGCTGTAAGCTGTTTGTGCTTCCGAGGAAAATTCTTATATGATTTATTCATGAAGGAATTATATATTTTATTTGTTTACCCCCCTGTCCCACTCCGTTCATGCGTATATACTCACTTACTCCAAAAGTAGTTCATAAAGAAAACCTTTTAAAGCCATGGCAAGATTCTACAGTTGACACATTTCACCCGTTTCTCTGAGGGTTAAGAAACTGTATAATGTTTTTGGTTTGTGCTCCCAAGGAGAATTTTAATCTACAGTTGTACCTTAACCTCCCCTCACCCCATCCATTAACAAAGGAGGAAAATTCTTATATGATCCCTCCCCAATTCATCGATAGAGGATGGCTGATGGACATGCTGGCTGATGGTGCTCCCAAGGAGAATTTTAATCTACCTTAACCTCCCCCTCACCTCATTCATTAACAAAAGGAGATGTAAAATGTCTCCACCTGCCATTTGCTACAGATGTCGACCATTGACTGCCAACTGCCAACCCTCTAACACCATCCACAAAATACTATAACAAAAGGAGATAGACAGCAGTCACTTATTCCAAAAGTATTTCTAATAACATAGCCATAAAGAGATTCTACAGTAGATAAAGTTCACATATACATATGTACCTCTGAGGGTGGTGTGTGGAACTGTTTACAGTGTGTGCTTCAAAGGTAAATCGTAATATGACTTATAAAACTTATATATACTACCTTGGAGGGTCATGTTTGGAACTGTAAACAGTTTTTGCTCCCAAGAAAAAGGATAGGTATCGATATGGTGAACTGAATTCAACAATGTTTTTCTCTTAAACCAATTATTGAAAACATTCTGTAAAAAAACACGGTCCTTCATGTAATTTTGACCGATTGGCAACAATTTAATGCAAAAATTATTTACATATATTTTATATAACTGTTTTTGTTAACATTTTTTGTTTTTTTAGTGCAATTGTTTTTTGTTCCTTTCTACCAATTCTTGAGAATGAAATGAAATGTCTCTCCGAACCTTGTTGGAACAAAATAGCATATACAACATTTTCTTAGACCTCTCAATATTATAGTTATACAAAGGAAATTTTGGTTGATTTTACAATAAGTATGCAAAACTTTTACAAAACCCCCAAAATAGAGAGAAATTAAGTTTAACCTTTAATTTCATTAACAAGATACTTTTTTAATATCAACCAAACCTTCCTTTGTACGATTACAATATTGAGAGACCTACATACGTTGTGTTTATGTCGTTTTGTTCCAATGAGGTTCGGATAGATGTTTCATTTCATTCCGAACATATGATACCAAGAACAAAAGAAGTGTCTCATGGGTTATCTAAAACAATATAGAGAAAAGTATATAAATATATTTCAAATTATAATGTTACCATACAAAAGATAACCATTTTATTCAAAAAGTTCACCATATCGATACCACTCCTTTGAAGATGACTTAACCCCCTTCTACTCCACTTTATCCATGAGCAAAAGGAGAAAGACGGAAATGATTGTTCGGAAGTATTTCTTATAATATTCCTTTTATATCTAAAAATGATTCTACAATAGATAAAGTTTGCATGTACCTCTGACTCTGAAGAAACTCGGAATGACTCCCCCTCCCCCCATTTCATTCAATTAATAAGGGAGTAGGACTGGACTTTTCTCACTTATTCCAAAATTATTTCTTCAAATATCCCCTTTACCCATGTGCAGTTGAGCATAATTCAAAGGTTTGCGTGAGACTCCCACATGGGAAGTGGTAGAGGTTTTGACAAAACAAAGATTGAGCTGTCAAACTCAAATCATGGGGGTAACCTATTGAGTCAACGTCCCCACCCTGGAAGCAATAATAGAGAGTCAAATATAGTGAAAATTCCTATTATTAACAATATACTTTTGAAAGTCTCTACTCTCAGGACTCTTTGAATGGTGCATAATATTTGAGAATGCATAATGTTCATGTTCACTAGGAAAATTCTAATTATGTCAAACTTTACATCGTGCACTCTATATTAATAGGCATTCTTAGCATGTACATTATTTTCTTTCGGCCCATATCTTACAGCCCATAAATTCCCATCCTCTAGGTCTATATATAAACATTGAAACAGGCTTTTGACCCAAGAAATTTGTGTTTTATGCCATTTGTGAAACATATTCTTGAAGAAAATGATATACAAGGCAGGACATAAGTAGTCATCATAGAATTTCTGATCCAATTGTGCCACTTCCGCGTTCTTGTATTTCTAAGGGGTAGGGGTCAACAAAGCCATATTAAAAATACAAAATAGTACTTTATCATTACATTACTTACATTACAATGTCACACATAG